AAGGCCTCTATCCTGGTCGTGGTGAGAGAACCACCAGGATTGCGGACTTCCGTAGGAGGGAAGGGGGAGGACAGGAGGATGGCCAAGAGAGTGCCCTGGTTGATTTTTTGTTTTTTGTTTTTTTTTTGAGTTAAGCGTCTCTTCGGAAGGCCCCTATCCTTGTCGTGGTGAGAGAACCACCAGGATTGCGGACTTCCGTAGTGGATGTTTACGTTCTGACTGGTGGGGAGCAGCACATGCTGGAAAATGGGTCCTGCATCCCTTTAGCCGTCGCTTGCTGAAAACCAAGTCCAGTGTCCGATAGGATTAAGAAACCTGTCTGTAGTTGCTGCCCACTGACCCTCGCTGTGACTGCGGCATGGCAGTTACAAGTGTCACTCCCCATCTGTTCCTTTGGTGGGGAGCAGCACAATGAGCACATGCTGGAAAATGGGTCCCGGGCATGTTTAGCAGTCGCTTGCTGGAAACCTGGTCCATCGAAAGATACATAATCAGCCAAGTCATTGAAATGATTGTGGATGCTATCTATGAATTGCCCTCGTCCAACGAAAGATACATCATCAGCCAAGTGATTGAAATGATTGTGGATGCTATCTATGAATTGCCCTCGTCTAGTCGGCCTCGTAAAGCATTGTGCAAAGCACGAAATTGGAAAAAACACAAAATGGTTAGTGAAGGAGGGCGAAGCTCAGTGTATAAGCGCCGCGGCGCCTTGTTATCACAAATTGAAGATCAGAAGTTTTTGGACTTGATAGAATTTTTCATCAAACGAGATGCGAAAATGTTCAGTCAAAAAATTATTCTGCCTGAATTAGAAATTCAATTGAATGAGGTATGCAAAGCTTCTCAAAACAAAATACAGACTTTGGTTCAAGCCCGTAAAAAGAATTATCGTACCTAATCTATAGTTGCTGCCCACTGATCCTCGGTGTGACTATTGCATGGCACTTGCGAGTGCCACTCCCCATCTATTCCGTTGGTTAAACCACCAGTACTTGGCCCAGCTATCGATGCCGAGCCTGGAATGCCCCTGCGCGCCAATTTTCGCCGAAGCGCCGGGGTACCATTTTGAAAAAATTTTGGCTGGCGCTTCCAGCCATTATGGTCCGGTACCCTGAAGCCCTAAAGCCGCGGCGCGTTAACGGGGAAGCGCTCGCTGATAGCTGGGCCAAGTACTGGTGGTTTAAGCTCTTCCCTTGCTCCTTTTCTCTCTCTTTCCCACCTCTCTTCCCTTCCCCCTAATCCCGACCTGCCTAACTCGCCGCTACCCCCTTATTTCCTCTCCCTTGCTGCCAACCGGACGGCCAGGGTAGCGCTCTTGATGAGCTGAGTGGGAGCCCTCTTGAATGAGTTGGAGGTACTGGCGGGAGCCGAATGAACGAGGGAGCGGTTGCTGAGGTAGGGGCATGAAAGTGGGTGCGCTGTTTTGTATTTCAAAATTCAAATCCTGTTTTTTTTTTTTGTTTTTTTTTTTTTAAACAACCCCCTCCAGTGCTAGAGGTGCTGGTAAGAGCAAACACCGCTAGCACCAGGGGAGAGGCTCCATCTATTGGTGGGGAGCATCACCTGCTGGAAAGCGGGTCCAACGTCCCATATACAGAGTGAAAATACAGACTGAAGTAGAGAAAACCCTGCCAGCATTGATTGCTCTGGGGTCCAGAGGATTAACTGATCAGGTTGTATCGGGACAGGAACCTCTTCGCCCCATGCCGGGCGCCAGATATCTGCTGCTACAAACTGGTTCCTTCCTCCAGTTTTTCTGTTCAAGTTTGTCCACATCTTGTTCAGCAGCTATTTTCTTTTTTGTCTTGAACCATTCCGCTCCCTCAAATCCTTCTTTGAGCTCTTGTATTTTGGTCTGTTTCTGTTGTGCCTCCAGATCTCCACTCTCCCCTTGTTGCAAGGACCTGTGTGCTGCCTGAATATTTGCATTTACATCCTGAGTGACCTTCCCTCTGACTTGATCATCTTGAGAGTCTGTTCTTTCCTCCTTCCTCCCAATTACTCTCTCTGTGAGGCATTCTTGAGAGGAGGACAATTGATTTGAAATAATTTCTTCTTCGTGCGACCTCAGGCTACCCACACGATTGCGGTAGCGCTGCCGGAGTCTAGGCGAGGCTCTGGAGACAGAGAACACCCAAGTTTTTCGTTGCAAGGACCTGTATGCTGCCTACCCACACGATTGCGGTAGCTCTGCCGGAGTCTAGGCGAGGATATGGAGGCAGAGAACACCAAGTTTTTCGTTGCAAGGACCTGTATGCTGCCTACCCACACGATTGTGGTAGCTCTGCCGGAGTCCAGGCGAGGATATGGAGGCAGAGAACACAAACTTTTTCGGTGCAAGGACCTGTATGCTGCCTGAATATTTGAATTTACATAGTCCACGGTATGTTATGCTGCCTGAATATTTGAATTTACATAGTCCACGGTATGTTCCTTGGCTTGGAGGAACCCAAAGGTGTGCTTATTGCATGCAAAGGGGCATCTGGCTCTCCATGCCACCATGAATATTTCCAGTCTCAGGGTGACAAATCACTTCCTCTCGTAACAAACCCAGTCTTGGTCGAATCATGAAGGTAGTCTCTTATTATGGCGTTGGATCCTGAGTCTTTATAAACTGTCGTGTTTCTATCAGAAGAAAAATCTCCCGGGGCCCCTGATAGGAGGAGGAGCTTTAGCAGCCAGTGGGGAAGGGTCTGTCTGTAAGTTCCTTGCATGCTGCGACCCACCACCTCCAAATCTGCACGACCATTTGGCAAGCGAACAGGCAATGCTGCAAAGTCGCGTTTGCCGGTGGGCAGGAGGTGTCGTAGCACTGGCAGAGCGGTGGGTAGGGTTTGCCTTTTTGCTTTAGGTCTGTCTTAGAGACTACCCTCTTCACCGGAAAATAATGCCTGGGAGTTGTATTCGAATAGAATGTGCGGGTGTTATATTCAGTAAATTGGCGGCAACTTCGGTGGGGCGCCAGAATTCCCAAAAAATAAAAATAAGAAATTCTCTTAAAAACGAATCTTGTATAGAAAATATTAGAATGGCAATGCATCCAACTTTTGGCCGAGGGTCACTTCAGAATACCTTATAGGTTTGGAAATAAAAAAAATCAAATAAAAATCTAGTAATATACTAGGATGTTTTTTCGGGGCGCCCGGGCACACCCAACTTATGCCCAGATGCACGCCCATCTGCCCCGGCGGGGCATGACCCCGGGGAAGGGTTTGGGGCAGCCCCAGCGGGGGAAAAAAAAAAAAAAGTCTGGGAAAAAAAATGTTGTGTGAATTGCAATACAAACGACTCTTGGCCGAGGGTCACATGAGAATTTCTCACAGAATCAGTGATTAAAAAAAGAAAATAACAGAATCACACTGAGACACCTTCTAGAGTCGTGCCCGTTAACGCACCACGATTTTAGGAGACGTACGGGCTACTACATGAGCGCACAAATTAATCCGACTAGAAATGTTTCTACTCTCTTTTTTTCCGCGGCCGATAGCTGGGCTAAGTACTGGTGGTTTAAAACCAATATATGCCCTCCTTTCCCCTCCTTAGCAGCCAACTCTCAAAAGAAGAAATGAGCCCTAGTTGAAGATTGCTTGAGCCTGGCGTCCGAAGTTCCCATGCGACGAGGCTCTTTCGGTTCTGCTTCCACCAGGGCTGGGTCATGGCTAGCCTTGGTGCCTGCCACTGCTGTTCGGTCCAATCTGCCCTCGATACTGGTAGGGCAATGGTCCTGAGTGCTGGTCACACAGAGGTAGGGTAGTAGGGATAGGGGGTGGGCTATGGCCGCTATGCCACCAATTGTATCCTAACCTCTCGCTTTACGTCCCACAGGTCACCAATTTTATAGACCCCCTTGTTTGCCCAAGAGCCAATGGGACTTGTTCTGATGGCAGAGGGGGTTTCCATTTTCATCTAGAATAGTTGGGTTTCCAGAAAAGGGCTATCTCCACATTTTGTGCCACCTAAGATGTGGTTGCTGCTTCCTATGACCCATCTTATAGCAAAGGCAAATTAGGTCCGCGTCTATAGCAGGTCTATATGCATATCAAGTCTTGCTGCAACGGCGCGGTCATCGTTCTTCTGTGGTTGAGGCTTCCTGGGATGGACCGGAAGGGGTTTGTGTGCCATGCCAGAGGGTGGACCCTCTTTGCTCTTTGTTTCTGGAAACAGACAATGTGGGCTTCTAACACAAACATTAAAAATAAAAAAATAAAAAAATAAAAAAATAAGAAACAGCAAAAGAAACCGAACAAAAACCCTATCGCAAAAACACTTTCGGAGTTAAACTAAGCGTTCAACAATTTCAACGAAATGCGAGCTTTTTCATTATTAGTCCAAAATATGTCAAAACTGAATACACGATGTACCCTGCAGCACAAACGTATCACACGGAAAAGAGAAAAAAGAAAAAAATCAGGGCAATATGACAGTTTCGGTGCAAAATTTGCCAAAAATAATGCCCCCTTTAAACCACGTGTGGACGAGGACAGGTTAGCCGACTGGATGAGGGCGTACGGGGCCCACGTGGCATCGTTTCCGATGAGTAGACATAATAAGATTTTG